GATTTAAGAGATAGACAGTGCAGGTCTAATGTTAACTTGAAGAAATTTATATCTTTTTTATATCTTTAGAGCTAATTACTAATCGTTGTAGCTAAACATAGTTTACTTAATGCTAAGTGTAAAGTATAATCACTAATCATTAAATATTAAGTACTAATCGTTAATCATTAAGCATTAAGCATTAATTATTAAGTATCAAGTGTTAAGCATTAATCATTAATTGCTAATCGTGTTAAACATAATACATGTTTGTTAAATTCTACTCCAATAATAATAATGATAATAATTAAATAATAAAATAATAAAATAATATAATAATAATTATACAATATCAAAATAATAAACTAATAAAATTATAAACTATTCTATAACAGAAGCTAAAAATAATATTTATAATTGATTTATATTAGCCAATCAAACTTCTGCCCATGCCTTGTAATATGATAAATCAAAACAATTTAAACAATATGATTTTGATTTTTTTTTTTGTTAGTTCAACTATGCTTCATTCTTAATTTAAGTAGTTAAAAACCTGTAGTAGTTTGATTTACTTGAATATAACATTGAAGTTGAAAATCTTTTAAACGAATTTTTACTTGCAAGATTTAAGCAATATTTTAACTAGTTTTAGCAAAATTAGGGATTTGTTAGTGAATTAAGCAAAGCTTCGTAGAATCTATAATAATAAAATAAGATATAATGAGAATTTGAGCTCTAGTATCAAAACCATCCCTATTAATACTTTTTCAGCCAATAAGATACACCTCTACGTGGTGATTGAAACAAGTAGAAGAGATAGTCTCTGAAACTAAATATCTCAAACATTTATTGATTTACTGTTTTCTTCGTATTTTTATTTTTATTTTTATTTTTAATGTTATCTTTATATAGTTTAAAAATATTGTAATTATATGAAAACTTTTGTATCATTATTCGCATAACTAATAATTTTATTTAATCCATTTAATTTTACGTGTAAACTCTTAAAAAATATCCATTTTTAAATAATGAATTATTTTAATATTCAAGATTACAGTATTTATTTACTAAGAAATTTATGTTGTATAAAGTTTTCTAATGAATTTTTTTTGAAATTTAGTCAAGGTTTAGAGTTAAAAATATTTTTAACAGAAGAATATAAATGGACTTAAGAGGCTTAAAAAAGCTTTAAATTTTATTTTAATTCAGATTTTTGACAGTTAATAACTTTTTATTAAGCCTTTTAAATTTAAAAATAGTAGTTTTGGTAAAAAAAATCATTAAATAAACTTTGTATTTTGAATAATATAAGTGTTCAAAGTTTATATTTAAATTTTTTTTATTATCAATTTATAAGCAAATTCTAGATAATTTAGTTTAACACTGCAGTTAACATCATTAAATTCGTTAACAGAAAGATTTCTAGCTTATTATACTAATAACCTGCAAAGAATTTAAATCAATAAAATTTTTTTGTTTAAATGTTAGCAAATGAATCAAACAATTTACTGATAACATATGCTCAAACCATTTATTGATGAAAATTCGAAATTCTTAATTCCAATGCTCTGAATACCAGACATGAAATTATAGTTAGTAATATTATAACGTCTACATAATATTTTACACAGATTATAAACAAACCTTCGTTCTTCCTTTCGACATAATAGATTTAGAGATACCGCAGCTCGCCAAACAGGTAATATGCTAATTATTGCAAAAGCAAACATGTAAGAAATTATACAGAATAAAAAAAAAAAAAAAAAAAGACTATATTTCCTTTACTTACATCGCATCACGTTCTTTACATGGATCAACATAAACAATTATACATCCCATATCTGAAAATATAACAATAATAAATTTTTTAACATCGTGGGCACGAAAAATTTATAAAGGTACTTTTAAATTAATAATAATAATAATAAAATGCTTATCACATTATTTATTACCTAGTTCTTTCAGCCTCTTCTGAATTCTTTCATCAAATCGATCTATAAGTGGTGTAGGTTCTGAAAGTAATATCTTAAGATCTTCTAAGTTAAAATTTACCACTCTCTTCTTGGATAAATAAGGATATATCATTGTTAAACCCTCTGAATTAAATCGAAATTCACATTTTATCGGTTCATTTGTTTCTTGCCGAGTAAATACTTTTATTCCCGAGTTTACTACCTATAAATTAGATATAATATCACGTGGTTATCAAATGCCAAATAGTAGATTATAACATATTATGAAAAAATACCCTTAATCGATGACAATCGGGTGCTTGTAAAACTCGTTTAACAGGTTCAGACACAAAATACAGTATCTTGTTTCTCTCGTTTACAGATCGAACAAGTAATTGATCTGTTGGAAATTCATGAGATAATCCATAGTATTCTCTGATTATGAAAAGATTTTCATAATTAGTGGATGCTTCACTTATAAATATAGTACGAGAACTTAAAAAAAAAAAAACCTGATATTTGAGATATCAGCATAATCTGGATCCAAAAAAATAAAAGGTTCTTCGAACGCTCGTTTTTGTGGTCCAGTCTCCTGATCGTCATTCTTTTCGTCAGGCTTTATTTCTGTTTCAAGCTTTTCGACTTTTGGGCATTTATGTGATTCATGTCTAGATGAATCAACATTATGTCTTTTTACAGGAACTACGTAATAATTATCTACAGCATCATTAGTTGACGGATCATCAACAGTCATTGCATTATCCTGCTCATTAGATATGTCAATTTCCTCATCAAAGTTCTGATTGTCATTTTCATTAGCTTCAGCAACCGAAACATCAATTATTGCATCATCTTGCTCATTAGATACGTCAATTTCCTCATTAGCTTCAGCGATCGAAACATCTTTTGTGTCACATGTGCTTTTACTTGACACAGAACTATCTATAGAACTTATATCAGTTATTGGGCCTGTCTTTTGCAGTACTGCAATGAAAAATGCACCAGTATCTTGGAAGTGAGGATATATCCGCAGACTGAAAAAAATAAATAATATTACTAATGCATTGCTAATGAAACAACACATGATAATAGTGTGAACCTACCATCTTTCCAGGTGAAGTTGATCTACATCTGGAGGCGGCCAAAGAGACTTTTCATATTTTTTCTGATACTTTGGATTTATATCTTCCAATTTATCAACCCATTTATTTTCTTTACTCATTACCTATTATAATGATCAAGACAAACAGTATGTTATGGCAAATAATCGGCATAAATAGAAGTTAGAAGAAATTATTACCTTCCATGATGTAACTCCCTGTGCTCTTATTAATTGCGGTAATTGGTCAGAAACATCCACAAGATGTAAATTTCCTAAAATATAGGTATAGAATAGATGAATCTTAAAATCTAAAATAATTGATAAAATTATGAAATCCGTATATTATGTAAATAATAGTTGTACCTGTGGATCGTCTTAAAACCTCTGCAACTACTGCTTCATTTTCAAGAGCATTCATTGAGCATGTTGAATATACGATTCGACCATTTTCTTTTGCGAGCTGTGCACCACGAAGTAAAATTTTTACTTGAGTACTTTACAAATTATGTATTAATATGTGTTAATATATGATTATAAAATTAAGCAAATCAGCAATGGAATTTCTTGTATATACTAATGAAGTCCAATCGCGCTTCCTACACCCCAATTTTTCCAAATCAAAAAATTTTTTCGTAGTGTTCCATCACCACTGCAAAAATTGTTAATATATTTTAAATATTTGTCTAGTTCGATGCATCATTCAACGTATCAATAATGAAAATTATATTGTAACCTGCATGGAACATCCGCTAAGATACGATCAAATTGAATTGGCCTTTTTTCTTCGTTTAAACCCTAATAAATTGATATTAATACCATTTAAAATACTTAATAATAACGTTAGGAAAAAAAGGAAAAAAAACCTGGTTCACGTATACAC